TTTACCTTTATCATGATATGGGAGGCCTTCAATCCCTACAAGAGCACAGATCTGGTGTTCCTAAGGTCTCTTAGAGAAACAGCTACATGTTACAATGCCAACGCATGAACTGAACCAATCCGGCACTTCAGCTGCCTGCATTGGCACCACAAAAACCTCCTTGTTGCCTTGCCCCCCCTCTCTCTATCTAAGCAATTGTGACTCACCAGCTGGCAAGCTAGTCTAGTGGCTCTGCCCCACCCTGTGATCCTGCTTCTGCCAGGGCCTTCCATATTATGTTTTCCCCGTGAAATAAATGTGCATTTATAAGGGAGGACCTTTTTGCCATGAATAGAAGTTTTCTCCTGTGTTCGCATGGATTGAGGCTAGGCCCAAGAAACGCAAAAGCACTGTGGCTTCTGATCCACAAACAATGCACAAGATGATACAAGTGTACATATGCCTCACTTCAACTAATTAAGCAGAAATATTAGTACTGTAATTAAAGCTCATTAGTCATGTCTGCAACCGAAGAGTTATTTCTCCTTGACATGATTTTAAGTAAGTGGGATTTTGTTTGAAATAGGAAATGGCTTATGCACAGGGATAGGGAACCTGTGGCCCTCCAGACATTTTTTGGACTACAATCCCCATCATCCTGGATCACTAGTCATGCTGCCTGGGGCTGATGGGAGCTGGAGTCCAACAATATCTGATGGACCAATTATCTTCACCTCCATCTTCATACTCTCCATCTATTGCCTTCCATGTGTTCAGTTTTGGGAGAGGGAAAGGTTTGGGTTTTATTGATGCTCTGTTAAGCTCCATGTATATCCCTGTTGCTAGTCTGGCAAACAAACAAGCACGCATCACCTTTCAACAGCAAAATGTCAGAGAAATTACTAACACTAATGTACTGGGAAGCTACTTTCTTTCTTTTCTTTTAAAAGGTTACCCTCTGAAACCAAAAGGGCACCATGATACAGCACCCACTTTGCCATTACACTAATAAATGTTTTAAGAAACAGTCATGCATTAGTTTACTTCCAGTTTCCCAAGGTGCATTGACACAAACAGAACAAGATTTTGCATCAAGCCCATTGCTGCTAAGGTACTGCATTAAGGAAATCTTGAGGATTCCAATTTTCTGAACTGTTATTTTGGTTCCAGAGTACAGAAGATTCTTTCCTCTCCATTTAAACTTGTTCTATTTAGGGTGAACAGATGCAAAAGAGAATAGGAGTCCTGCGCCCTTAAAAGTTGGGTAGGAAATCATTTTTGTTGTTTAACTCATATACTAACTTTCTTCCCCTAGGATCCCATTGTGGTAAACAGATACACAGATTTTAAAAAGCAAAAACATTCTAAAGCAGTTAAGATGTTCTAAAAACACATGTAATTAAAAGCAGTTAAAGATGTAAACATTATTGTACCCAATGATATTTGGGTTGCCAGGAAAAGCCACCAAATGCCTGGGTTAAGAGGAGCCACTACAGAAAAGGCCCTGTCGGGGAGACCCCTGTTCACCAATGACATGGGATTTCTAGAAGTTTGATGAGGAAATTTGGCCCTTGGATTGAAAAAGATTCCTCATCTGTATCTTAAAGTTGCACTCTCAGTGTCTGGATCTGGCAACCTTAGGAATGAGCTATGAAAAGGACTGGTTAGTAAAACAAGCTGGCAGAGCCGACAAGACTTTTACTCTCTTGTCACAGTTATCCTTTTAGGCCTAGCATCCTCCAGAAAATATAAAGTTGTTTGTGCCACTGTTTGCTGCTCTCCCTAATTGGATAGAAAAGATGACAAATCCAGATCTCCAGATGGCTATCTTTGGAACATCCCCTAGAGATTAGTGAAAGACCTAGGAATATTTGTGGATGAACCTATAGACTGGCAGCTAAAAGCATCGGATTTGTGAGATGGCAGGATGGCAACACGGAAACCTAGTCCATTGTGCAGTTAATCATAATTGAGTCCACTATAATTGTTAGAGTGAACAGATCTTATATGTTGCTAGCTCTTTCGCTTGCATGCAGGAACACCTCTGCCTTTCAACACCTGCCATGACAAAAAGAAATTCAGCTGTCAAAATTGTCTGTCTGTTCTTCCACACAAAAGTGCCCTAAAGTAATGTTTCCAAACTTTCAGGGAACGTGAGACACCTGCACTGCAAAGTCAGCATAGTTTCCTGTTAGTTTCCAGTTGTAGCTTGTGTGACCCGTTAAGGCTTCTATGGTTTAGAGCCAAGTTTCCATAGGAACCACCTCTTAGTCTGCTGTCAGAGGGAAATCCATTTAGGTGCTCAGGGCAGCCTATTTTGGTATGTGGAGCACATCGAACAGCAATACTCAGGCATCACACACACTCTCCCTCCTAATTCTGTTCCTCGGTTTGTTGATCTTCGAAGCAAGCTGTAACCAACATCCAGCGTTAAACACAAGAGTTCATGCTTGTTCTGGACTGACAGCCATTTTTATTTCTCCTCAGGGCTGAATTCCTCTGTTTCTCACTATGTAGAGTGGCCTGGTGAAAAAGGCAACAGGGGGCTACTGCACCTTTAATAACTCCAGAGAAGAGGGAAATCCGCAGAAAAATATTTCACGAGATTCTGAAATGTGCATGTGCTCCTTTAAAACAAAACAAAACAAACAAAACCTTACTAGTTGTCTGGTCCATTTTAATTCAATGCATTTCTGCCCAGAAAGACTTGAGGGCAACTATTCACCAGCCGTTCAGTAAGCCTGTCTTCTGTTGGGTGCTGAAGAATAGCTCCATTTTGGAAGGAGTTGAACAGCATGCCCTAGATATGAAAGATTGTGTGTCCTATTAACATGCTGCCTTTTAAAATGGGTTTATACAGACCACACAAGTATTTCTTCAGTCATCTGTGGTTAAGATTTTGGCAGATCCAGATCTGTAAGTTGAATTCTACTCTTGCTTGATATTTTTTCAAGAGTAGAGACTGCTATAGCAGGCCAAATGCAAAAGAGGAGGGGGCTCCTGTATTTTTAACAACTTTACAGAAGGCAGAATTTATTTATTATTTGCCTTCCATGTACATAATTTATTTGTCACTCAACTAAAACACCTGTGACTAATCTTCAGGTAGAGTTAAAAACAGAGGAGGTGGCACCATCCTTTTATTTGCTACAAATGTATACCATTTAGTTCAGGGGTGGGAAAGCTCTGGCCTGCCTGCAGACCACATTGGACCCATGATGCAAAACTCACTCACCTGCTGCACACCTGACATCAGGTGTGAGGCAAGCAAAGATGTGGCTGCCCTGCTGAAAGCAGGATTAAACCTCTTGCACATCAGCTGATGTGTGTGGGGGGAGGGAGTTCAGTCCTGCTTGACTGCTATCTCCCTACCCCTTTAGCTAATTTTGACAGGTGGGTGAAATAATCCACCTGCCAAAATTAGCTCCCTAGCTTATAATATTAATATTAATAACAATGATAATTCCTCTCAGCAGTTTACGTAAAATTCCCTTCATTTTAAATATAAAACAGGTGCCCCAAATATATTGCGTGTTATGTTCGCTGAAAACATTTATTTCAGTAAAGTCCACTTATTTAATTGTGTACACTTGCTTTTAAATTCTTACAGATTTTACCTGTGTTTTTATTGAAAATAGATTATACTGTTTTTGTACTACAGCTTAGGTTTTTTAAAAAATGAACTGGTTTCCAAACATTTCAAAATAAATAAAAGCAATAACAGTGTGACAATATTTCAATAACATTTCCTAAAAACAAAAGTGAACTATACATCACATAAAACTGAAAGTGTACAGAACAGAAAATTTTAAAAAATTAGGAGCCACAATCTAGCAAAACCTGGGTAAACATGTAAGTTTTTAAGAGATGTCTGGAAATCCCCACTGTCTCCATCTCATGAATTATCTGAGAGAGAGCATTCCAGAGGATGGGTGCTGTTGAAATGACCCCAGCAGGGTCTCATCAGAAGATATCAATCATCAGCTTGGTCTGTACCATGGAAAATATGCCAGCAGATATATCTTCTAGGTGTGCCGCTCCCAATTTGTTTAGGGCTTTAAATGTCAACAACAAAACCTTGAACTTGACTGAGTACCTAATAGCCAGCGAGCGCAAATTTTTCAGCACTGGTGTAATGTCTGTAAAGTGCGTTAATGGGAACTTACTCTATGCTGTGGTTTGAGGGACCTATTGGCATGCCAGAGAGTCCAATTTGTCCCAGAGGCCATTTCCCCCAAACCACACTGACCTGTCGAACAGCTGTCATCCCTGGGTGACATCAGCTGATGGGCAGGGTTCAGTTCTCCTGGGTGCGGCTTCGCCAGCCCTTTCCTTGTGCCAGTGAAGCAGGTGGGCAGGATCACCCGCCTATAGTGACATCAGGTGAGTGACCCCCCCACCTACCACCTCTCAAAGTTGGCCCAAGAATGTGGGGTGTGGCCGGGCTGGGCCAAAAATATTCCTGGCCCCTTCTCTGTTTCCTAGGCCACTCAGTGTGTAGTGGTTAGAATACCTGACTAAGAAGAGTTTGAGTCCCTGTGTTGCCCTGAAGCACAGTGGGTGACCCTGGGGCAGTGGCCGTCTCTCAAGCTAACCTTCCTCACAGGGTTTGTTGGGAGGACAAACCGTGGCACGCAGGTGTGCGCCGTCTGCAGCTTTCCAGAGTGATGGTAGGATATGGATAAATAGTTTGCTTAGGGTTTCAGCCTGCAGAGCCCCTTCCCAGAGTCCTGGCTTTCTGCTTCGGGTTATCAAAATATATGGGCATCCTTCTTTAGCCCGGTTGCAGACAGCAGCAGCAGCAGCAGCAGCAGCACCTGCCGTTCACGTCCACAACGAGGAAGAAAAAGGACTATCAACACAGGGAGGGGCTGATCTGCTGCTACTAATGCAAAGCTTATTGCTTGTCTCTCCTAACGCCAGGTGGCTGCTATCCAGGCCACCAGGAGGAGGAGGGCAGGCGGCGGGTTTTATTTTACTTTTTTTTTTTAAGGAGAAGAACAATCTGTTGCATGTCTCGTTGGAAAGAGTGCGAGGGGGCGCGCGGTGGTGGGGACTGAGATGGGTGTCTCCCTTATGGATGCCTGGAAAATAGGAGGAGGACAAGGAGGAGGGCGAGAGCCTGCTCGCGTGGCCTTCTGTTGACCCCCGGGGTAAAGCATCCGCTGCAGGGCAGGCGAAGGGTCAGGATCCGACGGGCGGAACCCCTGGACAGCTGCCTGCTCCGCCGGAGCAACCTGATCTGGCCATCTGGAGCGAGGAGAGCTGAGCGCCGGGATCTCTGCTTTCCCGCCCTGATTGTCTGCAGGCGCCGCTGGATGGGCCGAGCTACCCGCGGGCAGAGGGAGCTGGTGGCCGCGCAGGACTCGAACCCGCGCCCGAGCCGCTCTCCAGCGGGGCAGGAAGAGTCGCGTGGGGCTCCTGTCTCCGCCCTGCACCACCAAGCAAGGTAAGCCCCCTCGCTCCCCAGGGTGGTGTCGAAAAGATGCGGAAGGTTGGGGGCAAAGGAGCAGCTGAGCGCGCGCAATGGGGAGGAAGATCGCCCTTGCAGGGAGCGTGTAGGATTCCGCGCAAGGAGCGCGCGTTTACCAGAACGGCGAGCTGTGTGCCCTGCTGCTCGTTGAGGCAGCAAGGGATCTGCTGCGTGTTATCTCCCCATCACAGGTGCCGGTGACCTGGGTGCTCGGGTACCCACAGAATTCCCCACGAAGGGGCCGGGCACCCACAAATTTTGGCGCCAGGGCCATGTACGCTGCATGGCACCCACGGCCCCGGGCACCCACGGTCGTGGGGCCAAACTGGCACTCCTGCTCCCCACCACCGCCAGTCCCCTGTTATCAGACTGAACAAAAACTCATGGCGCGTGCTTGCTGGGGAGCAAGCTGCATAGGATCGGGCTGCGCGCGTAGGCAGCAATCCTAAACCGATTGTCGTGGGAGTAAAGTAAGATAAATGGACTTCAGTGGGGTTTGTGCAACTGAGTCTTGCGGGTGTTTTACTCGGTCCCCTTTGTTCTATGTGGCTGTCTCCCTAGTAAAGGAAAGAGTTGCAGCTATAAAGCTGCAAATAAAACGTTTTAAGTGTGTTGTAAGATGAAAGTAAGTGAGTTTGTTCACTGGCTGCAAATGCCCATGGTCGGAAACTTGGCAGTAGCCTCGGTTTGGTATCAGTGTGAAGTGCCGTGAACCCTAGTGACATCATAGTAATAGCAAAATATTAATTTTAAATGCATGGGTAGTTAACGCATGTGTTGGTTTGTCACATGTACATGTGGACTACACATGACAAGAAGCAGGATCCAGTTGCAGATGCAATTTCTCTCTTGCCCCATGTGCAAACACAGATCCCGGACTCTTACAGGCTGTAATGAGATATGGTCAGCTGCTGCATAGAAGGGAACCTGTTGCATATGAGCCTTGAGTCCCATCGATTTCAATGAAATGTGCTTCCAAGTCAGTGTGCTGCGTGTCGCAGGTGTGGCGCCTTCAGCTTCTGCACTTTTCACACCTCTGCGCATCGCAACTTTGTCTAGTCTAGAGGTCCACGAGTGGTTTGACCGTGAGAACATTTAGTATGCAGTAGGCAACATTACAAATATATATTGACAACTGCCATTATCCCAACTTTATATTGTTTACCTTTTTCTAGCTGGCTAAACTCACTGCCCGAAATGGTGTTGTAATAAGGAAGCACAGCTCTCGTGTTAATCTAGCCTGTTCTGGAGGGTCTTAACTGGCTTTGGGGGAACTAATCATGTTATGTACCGGTATGTGCAGTTGGAGGTGTAACAGTGTTTTAATGCCTGGAGCCTTTCCTTTCCTTGACCAGGTTATCTGATACTCTTCCTTAATTTCTAACTTGGATATCAGTACTCAGATAAAGCAAGCAATTCTTGGGTTACGGGTGACCCAGTTCTTTGGCCACTGATGCTTTGTTGTTGTCAGCTCTGACAAATAGACTTGAGCAAAGGTATTGATTTTTATGACACTTGTAAATGTTCATTGGCTTGTAATAGGAAAATTAAAAGGTGCTTAGACTTGGGGATCTGGCTTGCTCTTCAGAAATGTTCATTGGGCATCCACTTGTTGAAAAATCACTTTGGGTTTTTGTTTGTTTTGCTGCGTTTCTTAAATTGAGTGCTGCTAAGAGGAAAGTAAATGGGAGTTTGTACATGGACTACTGATGCCTAACCCCTGCTTAGCCATGCACAAAGCATGGGCACAATACAGAGTGATAGCAGCTGCATCTCCTATATAAGTGCTTCCCAACCTTTGGTCCCCAGCTGTTTTGGGACTACAATTCCCATCATCCAGGACCACTGGGGTTGCTAGGTAGGGATGATGGGAGTTGTAGTCCAAAAAACAGCTGGAGACCCAAGGCAGGGGAACACTGTCTAATATTATTTACAATTCCTTAGTTCTTAGAGTAGGGAGAGGGGAATCTTTTTTTCTTACCATTGCCCTCATTCCCTGGGGGGAAACAATTGAGAGCCACATGCCACTCGGCCTTGAGCCAAAAAAGGTGGGGCCACTCCCTCCCCCCACCCAATTTATTTATTGAATAGCTGCAGGCCGCTCCCCATTTGTGTGGGGGTTGCATTCTGGGTCATTGTGCATGCCAGCTGTTTGTAAGGCTGTCCCACCCCTGTCCCGCCCCCTTCCAGGGCCCAAAACAAAGCAGGCGTCAGCGGTCATGCATCAGTTGTCAGACGTGTGCAAAATGGCCGCCGCTTGTATCCCAACCTCCCTCCAAAGGAGCCCAAGGTGGCAAACCTGTCACTACTAAAACAATACAATTAAAACTTAAAAACAGTAAAAAAAAAACCTTCTCGAAAAAAAATATTTTATTTATTAAATTTGTGTACTGCCCTTCATCTGAAGATCCCAGGGCAGTTTGCAGCCTAAAAATACAATATAAGAATGCAAAATACATAATAAAAACAAGGACAAAACAAAACTATAACCTTCCCCCCACAAAATGAACCACACACATCTAAAATAAGGTTACCAGACATCCCTGTTTCCTGGGGACAGTCCCCGGATTTATAAATCAGTCCCCATACAAAATCCATTGAAGTTGAAAAGTGTCCCCAGAATCATTGGAAAAAAATCTGGTGACCTTAATCTAAAAGGATATAAGATGTTAAATAGCCAAAGGCCTGATTAAAGAGGAACATTTTTGCCTGGGGGAAAAGGAAGACCCAGGTAATTATAGACTGGTGAGCTTGACATTGATACCAGGAAAGGTCCTAGAACAGATAATTCAACGGTCAGTCTGTGAGCATTTAGAAAAGGATGCTGTGATTACTAAGACCCAACATGGGTTTCTCAAAAATAAATCATCCCAGACCAATCTGATTTCTTTTTTTCTTTCTTTTTTTGGAATTACAAACTTAGTGGATCAGGGAAATGCTGTGGACACAGTGTATCTTGATATTCTTGTGAGGAAGCTGGTAAAATGTGGGTTGAACGAGGTAACTGTTAGGTAGATTTGACTGACCGAACCCAAAGAGATTAATGGTTCCTTGTGATCCTGGGGAAAAAAAGTGGCAAGTGGGGTGCCGCAAGGTTCTGCCCTGGGCCCGTTGTTGTTCAACGTCTTTATAAATGACTTGGATGAAGGAATTCAGAGGATGCTCATCAAATTTGCAGATGACACCAAACTGGGAGAGGTAGCTAATGCTGCAGAAGACAGAATGAGAATTCAAAATGACCTTAACATATTGGAGAACTGGGCGCAAGCTAACAAAATGAATTTCAATAGGGACAAATGTAAGGTTCTGCACTTAGACAGTAAGAACCAGATGCACAAATATAGGATGGGTGACACCTGGCTTACTGGCAGTGCATTTGAAAAGGATCTAGGGGTATCGGTAGACCACAAGCTTGACATGATCCAACAATGTGATGCACCAGCAGCAAAAAAAAAAAAAAAAAGCTAATGCTATTCTAGGCTGCATCAACAGAAGTCTTGTGTCCAGATCAAGGGAAGTAACAGTACCACTCAATTCTGCCTTAGTCAGACCACAATTTTGAATACTGTGTCCAGTTCTGGGCACCACAATTCAAGAAAGATGTTGACAAGCTGGAACATGTGCAGAGGAGGGCAACCAAGATGATCAAGGGTCTGGAAAATAAGCCTTATGAGGAGCACTTGAAAGAGCTGGGTATGTTTAGCCTGAAAAAGAGGAGACTGAGAGGAGATATGATAACCATTTTCAAATATCTTAAGGGCTGTCACATGAAAGAGCATGCTTGTTTTCTCCTGCTCTGGAGGGTAGGACTCAAACCAATGGCTTCAATTCACAAGAAAGGAGATTCCGACTAAAATTCTGGGGGGGGGGGGGGTTCTGACAGTAAGAGCTGTTCGGCAGTGGAACAGACTCCCACAAGAGGTGGTGGACTCTCCTTCCTTGGAGGTTTTTAAGCAGAGGTTGGATGGCCATCTGCCATGGATGCTTTAGCTGAGATTCCTACATTGCGGGGAGGTTGGACTAGATGACCCATGGGTCCCTTCCAACTCAAAGATTCTATGATTGCAGAAAAGTCCCGTTCTTGTGTTGGCCCCTCTGTACCTCTCATGGAGGAGGCACATGACGAAGGCTTTAGAAACTCCAGGAATAAATAATTTACTCTCAAAACTAATCAGTTCAGGGTTGCCAGGGACAGGTCCTTCAGCCATCACATGTCTGGGCACAGAGATGTTTTTAAATTTCTCTGAAAAGTTAATATCGAGGGAGGCTGACACATGTCACCAAGGGAGGGCATTTCAGAAACAGGGAATCTGCCAACCACTTTTGGTTTGTCAGAGGCCTCTATTGAAATCAGAGAAGAGGCGAGATTTGAACTGACTACCTGGCTGACCTCTAAGCCACTATACCAGAAGTGGCCATTGTGGTGCCCTCCAAGCTCCCATTATTCCCAGCCAGTATATAATTGTGAAGGTTGTAGTCCAACCATATCCAGAAGAAAACACAATGGCTACCTCTGTACTATGTGGTCCTAGTGTTGTCTTGGCACTACCATGTGAATTTTGCCCCAAATAGCTGAGATTTTAAAATTATGTCTCTTACTCCTTTTGAAACTTTTTTTTATTACAAATACTTCTTGGTAAAAATTAATTTTGAAACATAGTGAGATGTATAAACACATTTCTGTTCAGCTCCCTCTGTAATTGGGACGACTGTTTTCAGTGATGGTTTCAATGCAGAATTCTTTTTTCCCACCAGGAGTTGCTGTTTGAGATGCTGCCCTTAACTGGCAAAACGATCATATTTGACAGCTTTCCTGATCCTTCAGACACCTGGGAAATAGTTGAGACGATTGGCAAAGGAACATATGGCAAGGTTTTCAAGGTGTTCAACAAGAAAAATGGGAGCAAAGCTGCAGTCAAAATCTTGGATCCAGTTCATGTAAGTTTACTTTTAGAATTGAGGCACAGCAGAGACTGTCATAACTTTTAGAACTATTTTTCACACATTTACACCTTCAATCTGCATGGAGGGAGTCCAGATCTTACAGCATGGTCATTTCAAGAGGGTATTGTTCCCCACAGCAGTGCAGCACTGGCGTCAAAGTCATCTCCCCCAGCTAGCCTTCAGCCAGCCTGCCCAAGATGGAGCCCACTGTTGGTTCTCCCCCTGTCATCTTCCCAGCACACCTTGCTAAAGATTCTTTTCCTGTCACTCTACACCCAGTTACCCTGGCAACCTTCTATCTGCCCAGGCCCAAGATTCCTCCTAAATGGGCCACCAACACCTTTTGTCATGTTAATGTATCTCTGGAAGAAAGCTTAGCCTGTATATTTCCACTGGCCTCCAGTCTTCCCTTCAATACAGCAAATAATCAAAATCTCACCATTTATTAATTTATAGTGTTTAGGTGATTGTCCCCCATCTATAACAATATATTCATTGCCTTTATTGGTTAGCTTATTCTTCCTCTGTTGTTTCATAAATTTGCCACAAAGCCCTTGTGTTCTTGAAATGCTGGCTGCTGTTTGAGAAAGGTGGGGTGTCAGGTGCTAACTGGTCCATAGTTTCTGCTTCATGGACTGTGAATGTAATGCCCTCATCTGTGGAAGTTTGACCGCATAGATTATATCGCTTCCTTAAACTGAAGGAATCCTGAGTGTCTGAAGAGGGAGCCATTGCAATAAACAAGGTGCTTGAAAATTTCCATCTTTCTTTGAGAACACTGCACTGGATTGAACTGAAGAAATGAAATAACTGACTAAAAAAAAGCCAAGCAACTGCTATCAATTTACCTTTTTTTTTTTACTGACTTAACTCATTTGTAGGTTTGTTTTTTTCTTTTTCTAAATGCTTCTTGATTTTTACAGCGGTTTTAAGATATGTGAAATATAAAGAGAGGACGTTCTTAGCAAAACTAGGAATATGTGAGTCGGAACTCAAGGAGACCCCCTTTTTGTAGCCTGCAATGTAGAAAAACAAGAATAATGCTATCAGTATCCAACTATTGACATCCAATTGTTTTATAGGCTGCAGTTTCTATAAAAACCTCCATCCTGGCTTCTTAAGGGACTTTGCAGCAAATGCACTAAGCCTTGCTTCCTAGGATCAGAAACCTGGTGCCCTCCACGTGTCATAAGACTACAACTCCCAGCATCTCTACCAATTGGCCAAGCTGGCCTGGGACTGATGGGAGTTGGGTACAGTATTCAGAGGGCCACAGGTCTCCCATCCCAGCTATATACACACTTAACAAGGAAATAAGTCTCATTGAACTCAGTGGGGCTTACTTAGAGTAGACGTGTATAGAATTGCACTGGGGAAAAGCCCCTAGAAGTGTTGGGTTCAGATTATACTTCTTCTCAAACTTCAGACGCTTATGGCTAGAAACCTTCCCCCAATTTCTCTTTTAATCTTTCAGTATTTTCTCAAAAGACCAATTTGTTTTCAGATTCTATGCAGTGCATCAATAAGTACATCAATAAGTATACCTAATAAGTATATTATTATATGTTATCCGTAAAACATGTTCACAAGGTGTTCCATTAATTCACTGTTTCTTTTGCTTTCCATCCATGTTACTAGGACATTGATGAGGAAATTGAAGCAGAGTACAACATTTTGAAAGCTCTTTCTGACCATCCAAATGTAGTCAAGTTCTATGGACTGTACTACAAGAAAGATGTGAAGGATGGAGACCAGCTGTGGCTGGTTCTGGAGGTAGGTGCATTGCTTATTGGTTGGTTTTTGTTCTCCTTCTGGTTTTTAAGTGACCACCCCAACAGGGGTGACCACCCCAACATTGAGTGAGAAAGCTCAATGTCATTACTAAAGAGTTTTGAGTGTCACAGGATATTATTCTAATTGCACTTACTAGATACAGCAGAGGTAGACTGTGTGGCACCCTTAAAATGTCATTGGACTACCACTCTCATCAGTCCTAGACAGTGTAGCCAATAGTCAGGGAGGATGGGAGTTGTAGTCCAAAACATCTGGAAGCTGCCATGTCGTTTACACCAGAGATACTACATCCAATTGACTTTCAGGACCCATCATATCCCAATAGCCTAAGGCATGCCTTAGGAGTCTCTGGTATCACTCCCTGTGTGATCATTTGTGTTTATGACGGCTTTTAGATGGTTTTATGTGCAGATACAGTGGTACCTCGGGTTAAGAACTTAACTTGTTCTGGAGGTCCGTTCTTAACCTGAAACTGTTCTTAACCTGAGGTACCACTTCAGCCAATGGGGCCTCCCGCTTCTGCCGTGCCGCCGCCACGCAATTTCTGTTCTCATCCTGAAGCAAAGTTCTTAACCCGAGGTACTATTTCTGGGTTACCGGAGTCTGTAACCTGAAGCGTCTGTAACCCGAGGTACCACTGTATGTGCTGCTTATAGCCAGAGCCAGTTCACAGACAAGATGGGGTGAAGCAGTCACCTCAGGCAGCATCCTGCCCATCCTACCACTTCTGTTGCCATAGAAACTCTGCTTTGCCACTGGTCTTCCCTGCACCCCTAAGTGGCAAAGCTCTCTAGAATGCCTCCCCTCTCTCACCAAGTCGGCTTTGCCACCTAATGGGAGGGGAGATTCAGCCAGGGCTTCTCCTTAAGGAGAGGCCATTGCTAAATCTTGCTTCCTACCACCTTATGGCAAGGCTTTGGAACGGCTTTTCCTTGAAGGAAGGCCATTGCAGAGCCTCACCTTGTTTTTTTCTTTTTTCACGACAGCAGAGAAGCCCAGTCCACATTGAGAAGAACGCAGCAGATCAATGCAGCCCTGTAAGCTTAGGGCAAGCCCAGTGTCTTCTTGAGAAGCACTCTGGGGAGGGCCAACAGACTTGAGGAAAATATTCTGGCCTGTTCCAGGCATTGGCTGATCTCATGTGAGATAAAGATTAAGTGACTGGGCACCTCAGATCTTGGGGGGAGAACCTAGAAATGCCAGAGTTTGCCGGCAGCTCTGCTTGTCATCTTCATGCCTCGCTATTGCAGTACAGCCAAGGAAAGACTGTTTCTGCTTTGTTTTGAGCACCTAAGCTGCTATTTAATGTGACAGTAGTAGTGTCTTGATTTGGCCCCGCAAGTCAGCTGTTAATCTGCAGCAGCATCCATAGACATCTTCCTGCAGAAAACCCTATTTTCAATGAATGAGAGTTATATAGTAGCTCCATTGACTTACAGGGGCGGGGGCAGGGCTGGGGGAGGGGCAGCCCCCCCCAATCAAGTAAATAAATAAAAATACTTAACTAACTGACCAACTGTGTCACAGATAACTCGGTTCTGCCCCCCCCATAATAACCCCCCTTCCGATAAATCCTGGCTATGCCCATGTTGACTTTGGAAAACAATTGCTAGACATTTAGGGAAATCTCTGAAGGGTGGGCGTATTAACTCCCACAATTTTACTTACTACATTATTGTTGGGAAGCAAGTGAGGCCAGCAGCAAAATGTTGTGCTTCGGTTTTAGATGCCGGCCATGCCCTTTACCCGGGTATTCCATTCCATTCTCCCTCCTCCCCCATTTTCTGTCACACACACACCTGCAAGAGTCAGCATTCCAGGGCCACTGAGCATGCTCAGTCCCCACCAAGATGTTTTGAGAAGAGTGCCCCCTCCCCCTTAGGGTTTATTCCCCCTGATATTTTATTTAATTTTTTTTCAAATGATTTCTACAAAGCTTTGGCTTCCTGTAAGCTTTTTTCCTGCTTCCCTCTCGTTCATGGATGGTGCTGTTTTGGCTGCATCGACACTCATAGCCTGAACCCTGAGAATGGAGAGCACGAAATACGATGACTCATCTTTGTAGTTCAGCTGCAGGCCTGCCCTGATAAGTGTTGCGTTATGAATTCTTCCTTGCAGCAGTCCTTGAAGTTAATTAATAATGCTAACCACACACACTACTAATCCCAAAGAATAATTATCATGGAGGATTATTGTGATCCAGTTGGCAGCAGTGTTTGCTAATTTAAAGCCCTGCCTGAAGTGATACTAAGTTATATTATTCGGCTTTGATCTCTCCCCCCGCTCTCTTTTAAGAGTTAACATCAAGCGTTTGCATTTTGTTCCCATTTAATTCCGCAGAAGAGATGTATAAATATTTAAATTTAACTGTAAATTCCTCAGTAGGCCTGTACTTTATCAGTTGTGAGTTTGGTTTTTATCAAAATAAATGGAACAAATGTTCTGTGAGGAATTAACAATGGGCTACAGGGATGTTTGAACACTATTTGATATGCAGAGACATCTAAATATTTGCATAGCTGAAACTGTGCTTCAGATCTCACAAGCCAGTTTATGGAGGCCACAGAGTGTTCCTTCCTTGCGATTTTTTAGAATATGTGTGTGGAGTCAGAATTGATATAGATTAGGGGAAGAATCATACAGACCACCTTGGTTCTTATTATGTGGCCAACATCACTGTGTAAACTGGTGTGCTTTATTTGGAGCAGTGAATAATCCCTGGTTATATAAGGCTGTTTTCCTACCAAGTTCTGTGACTCGCTTCCTACCCATCCAGCAAGTTTTCTACACCAGACTTCGTGAACCTGATTGTGGATGATAGGAGTTGTGGTTCAAAATATCTGGAGCACGCTTGGTTGGAGAATGCAGTTATAGTCTTTCCCCCTTTCCCCTTGAACTTGGTAACTAAAACCTTTGGCTGCCTATAAAACAGAACAGTGATAAGTGGTCCTTCTCAGAATAGAAGCCCCCAATTCATAAGCTCCCACAGTTGTCTGTAAAATAAATTGGTTAAGAAGGGTTTCTCCGAAGCGTGTCCCAGTCAACTTATTGAATATTAATTGCAGAAGTGGTTTTACTGCTTTTATAGTACGTATTCTACCTTCAGATAGCTTCTGGCTGTGAAGCAGTTTATACATCTGCAAAATAAATAAATGGTGGCGCTCGCAGCCTGTGGCAAGCCAGCCATGGAAGTATAGGAAGATCCCATTGGCCCATCTAGCTCAGTCTTTTCTGACTGGAGCTCTCCAGGATTTCAGTCTCTGTTCTCTCCTAGCCCTGCCTGGAGACTGAGCCCAAGACCTTCTGCCTGAAAAGCAGGTGCTTTGCCCCTGAGCTATTGCCCTTCCCCAAGATGTATATGTATATGTATATGTATATGTATATGTATATGTGAGCCATCACATGTTGCTTCTGTTCAGTCTCAACCCTGTTTGGGATAGTGTGCAAAACAGTCCAGATCTATGAAGACCAAAGGTAGCAGCAGCCTGCTTGAACTATTATAAGTTTCTCAATTCATGAGACATGCCAGAGAGCAGAAGCTGGTATATGTCATACAGAAAGCAGCCTCAGTTTTTCCCAACTGCTTCATATTATCAAGTCCACCTAATGGAAACATGTGAGTTTTGGTAGTAAGTAAGTTAGTAAGTAAATATCTGTACTTTTACTTAAAATCAAGAGTTCTGCCCCCCCCTTTTGTATTTCCTATAAATGCTTGCTTGCATTTTGCATTGCATTTCCTTCTGTCCAACTCTATCTACCGTACTACATTTCCTTGTACATCTCCTTCCTTGGCCTAATCAGTTGTGCTACCGCCTGTGTGGAAACAATAGCCCAATAACAATGTGTACAAAAAGCAGGTTACTTGAACCCGATTTATCAATAATGACGAAATGGTTCACTAAGGAACCCTTATGCCTGCTCACCGCAATAGCGCTGAAAATAGCGCTGCTTTGCTTTTGGCTGTGTGCTCTAATTATACTACATAATATATTGCCTTTCAAAAGAAGCCGTGTATGGGGAATAAATGGGCAAGCCAATATAAGAGAGGCTTTTCCTACTCTTCAGACCTGGGTATTTTTCCATGCTGCCCTGTATAATTGCTCCTTTCAATCCAGCTCTGCCTTCTTTGATCCATTACGGCTCTAAACTAGCCTTGATTTAGCCATTTCTAATAATGAGCTGCGTAATGCCTCTTTTTTTTACTTCCCAATTACAGTAATTCCGCTCTTTTAAAATTATGTCCCCCTTTCTCTGCAGGATCAAAGATTTGTGACTACAAGTAGCCTTTAGAATACTGAGGTCTGGTAAATACTCGTAATTTTCTGGGGGAAATTACATATTACAATCCCTTGCTTGAGCAGACTGCCTACCCTGGGGTACAGAATAAAGGCCGGCTTTCCTAACACTTTGTTTTCATCACCATGTAGAAAAGCAAAAAGGCAGATGAAAGTTTAGGTACGAGTTCTCAGGTATCTGCACTACTAGTGTCAAGATTTGATTTATGTCCAGAGTCAGCTGTTTGTGAATCAGTCTTCTTCGTCCCAAAGAACTCTGGGTTCAGCCAGGTTTGGTCTTGTGTCGGGATCTGAATCCACTGAGTGAAAAAGGAAGCTCCATTCTCTCTTCCCCTTCATCACTTATTATGGGGAGTCAAAATAGCTCTAGCCTTCCCCCTTCCTTTTGGGCAGAAGTGGATGAAATGTGCAGGCATGGTCATATATTCTGAGGGAGGTGGTGAAGCCTGCCATATTTCAGAGTGATAGCTCACTAGTGCAGACTTTACAGTTTTGGGTCACGAAAAATAGAAATAATTTGACCTTCCCCTAATACTATGTGGGCTATTGATCTGAAAGATTTGAGAGAGGTAAGAAAGCTGGAAGATCAGACCTATTTGTCTGCATAAATTTTTGTGTCAGGAGTCCTTAAAATATACAGAGGGGACTTTTTTGGCTCCATGGCCCAGGAGGGTGATCAGTTGT